TTTTTTATTAAAGTAGATCTTCCCAGTTGTAAAATTAAAGTAGATCTTTCCAATTTCCTACCATATAGAAAGTAATTTCAAATATATTTAATTGAGCATAATGTAGATGGCCCCAATTATTGATTCATTGTCGTCTTATTGCTACCTAACAGACACTGTTAATATGTTTTAATGTGTTTTCTTCAGATGTATATCAAATAGTCCAGAAGTAGAAAGGGCCTGATCTCTAAAACTGGAAACAACACATATTAGACATCCAAAGCAGAAACAAGGCTCTAAAACTATTTTTAATAGGCCTGCAGATTTTAGTTCAAATAGAACTAGTACATGGTTTGAAAATACTTAAAGGAAGATGAATAACTTTGCCTCTGAGAAGGCTGAACCTCATGATTGGGCAAAGTACAGTCAGAGAAACCATGAATTACATATATAATTTTGCTGTGAATTTTAAATCCCTTAGTTTCAGTCTACATATATGAAGTCAGGTTTATGACTAAGTGAGTCACGGTTTCCCTTTCATGCAATGAATCAGAGGGACTAGGCAGTTGGCTAGAGTTAAGCATAGATTAGCAAAGACAGAAATGCTGAGCTGTCAAATACTTCAAAACCAGTAGCAGCAAACAAAATATCCAAGTGCTGTGGTAAACTTATACGACCATTACAAACCTAGGAATTTTCAGCAGCCAAAGCAACGTAAGTCTTAAAAGGTATCTTTCACAATATGAAAAACCAGAGTCATGCTATAAAGTGATTGATAATAATAAGATATTTCTTCTTTATTTATATTTCTTTAACACTTGCTTTTAAATATAGTATTCTTTTAAACACATTATCCCTTGCTATAATACAAGAAAAATAACAGATGAATACTTAGAATCTCTTTCATTTCTCCGATGTCAGGAGAATTTTTTTCTTGTTTGTATGGCCTGGAGCAATGAGTGAGGAAGGGAAAAGTGAGACCTGTCAGCTGAAATCCACCGGCTTAATTTTCACTGCTCAGGGCTGGAAATTATTTGTAACAAAGGAAGCATGGCAGTGCAAAGATAAGTGAGAGGGAAAAGACTGACTGGGTTGAAGGAAGGGATTTGGAAGGATTTTAGACGTTGAGGAATGGGATTGGTTCTAAGCTCCCATCTTATGATGATTGGGTTTTTATTTGTGTGAATGGAAGTCTTCTTTTGGAGAAGATTCAGTAAAAGTTCTTGGTCTCTCTCTCTCTCTCTGCCTCTCTATCTCTTTCTCTGCCAGTAAGAGTTTTCTAAAAGTTAAAAAAAAAAAAATTGCTGAAATGGGCCAAAGAATGACCAGTTTGATAGATTGTTCTGATTGTTCACAAATATTTTGATTTTTCTAGAAAAATATACTTAATCAGACATCAGTGTGCTATCCCAAGCCAACAGGAAAATGTCAAAACATGATAGACCAACCTGGTCATTCATGTAATAAAAGCTTTCAAAATAACAAGCAGGAGTCATGACATGTTTTTCAGTGAGCATTGCTCCCACTAACAAGTAACAGAAAGTTTAACAACAGAGGGATACTTTTCTTATATAGCAAGAAATCTGAAAATAGATCTCTGTTGGCATTTGTTCAGCAGCTCAGTAAAGGCAGGCCTAGCATCTCTATTACTTTCTTTGCCTTCCTTCCATTATTGCAAAGTGTTGCTGCCTCACAGTGGCAGGTCCTTGAGATGGAAGAAAACATGGCCTGATCCTCATAGCTCATAGCAAGGAAGAGGATGACATGGGAAGCATGGTGGCCCTGAGAAGGTAGCCTGAGAAACAAGCCTGGAGAAGACAGAAGAAAGATCTTGTGTAGTTCAAGTTACCTATATACGTTTCATGTATACAGGTGTTCCATAGAGATCATATTTTTGGCTTTTTATGATTTCCATATGAGTATTTTCATACCCAAATATTGTTAATTAACCTGGTCAATACCAGCTTAAAACCAGACTTAGGGAATAAGGATATATCTGGGCCCTAGAGCACAACTTATTCCTTCCATCCACTCTCTTCTTTAAGCTAAAATTATCTCACAAAACAGTATCAGTAAAAGCAATTTGGCATATATTTGTACCACTAAAAATCAGGCTCTTTAATTCTCAAAAGAGACTGCCCATTAGATAAAAAGAGGGGAGAAAGTTGTATCATCAAGTACTTTATTGGTGATGTATGTAGCATCTAGTGTATTTTATAATCCCAAGATCTTTAAGAACATCAAAAGTAGAGATTCTATATGCACAGATTGAGATTTGTTTGGAACATGACTGAAACCTTTAATATTTCAACCTGGATGATGGAGATGTAAAAACTTGAGAGGTTTCCAACAAAACAGAGTAAAGTCAACATAACCTATGCTGGCTACTAACTAAATGCACCTTCAGGCATGTTTAAAATAATGCAATACATTATAGCTACTAGCATCCTTAATTTAGGGCAGTATTGCTTTTTTTCTATACACTGTTCTGGCAGTTTCTCCAATCTGCACCTGTTCAATAATGAACATCTTTCATCTGTGAGATTAAAATTCTAGGCAATAGTGAGGAAGTAGTAATTAAAATAGTATTTTTATCTTCCTTACTCTGTGGGACTTATTACCACATCTTTCAGTTAACACTGGTTTGAGGTTAGACCATGATCTCTTCCAAATACATTCCCATGAATGTTTTTCACCTATGTTTACGTGTCCCTTTTGAAGTTGAAGAGCTGGGAGTGCCCTGGATGAATAGATATGGTATCAACAGAAAACTTAATATTTTTGATTGGCTCATTAGATACAAAGAAAAGAATACAACTATGAACAAAGGTATTTTATTATACAACATGCAAATACGTTTATTAAGTGGTAGAACAAGTTTAATAAAAGACACTCATACCAAGATAAATAACATGCAAATAGTCTATTCTACTGACTAATTATAGAACATTAAAGAATTTGTTTCAGGCCAGGCATGGTGATACTTGTGATCCCAACATTTTAGGAGACCAAGACAGGAAGATTGCTTGAGGTCAGGAGTTCAAGACCAGCCTGGGCAATATAGAGAAATTCTTGCCACTACAAAAAAATAAATAAATAAATTAGCTGGAATGATGTCTTGCCCTTGCAGTCCCGGCTACTCAGGAGGCTAAGGCAGAAAGATATATGAGTCCAGGAACTTGAGGCTGCAGTGAACTGTGAATGTACCATTGTGCTTCAGCCTGGGCAACAGAGTAAGACCTTGTCTCTAAAAAAAAAAAATTTTTTAAAGAATGTGTTTCTATTTGCTTAACATAACAGAGAGTATTCAAAAATAGTTTTTGTGGTATATTGATAAAATCTGGAAGTGGTAGAAATTGATGTCATGTAAAAGTGTTCAGAATAAATCTGATACAAAGAGGTATCTTTATGTCTGTTATATTAAGCCAACAAAATAAACACTTTTCCCATAATCATGAGGAGGATAATAATAATTATAGCTACTTTTTATGGGATGGCTTAATAAACATCTGGTGACTTAAAAAATATTAATTTTACATCAACACATTAAGTCACAAACCCCCTAAGCAGTAGGTATTACTTTCAACAATTTATAAATGAGGAAATTATGTCCTGAGAAGGGTAATCATTTGATTAAAATCAAACCGATTGAATGTTGTAGCACTAGGAAAGGATATTAGGTTTTTCATACTTCAAAGCCTTTGTATTTAACCATTATTTTTTTTTCCTTCTCAACCTTTTGAATTTATCCTAGGAGAATAGTGAAAAAGCATGAAAAAATAAGTATATATCTCTGCTTATTGAAGCATTAGGTATAATAGAAAAAACTGTGAGGTCATTAAAATGTATAAAGAATGTATTAATAAATAAAAATGCTTATGAGAAGATGGCAAATGAAAAAAAAGCTCAATATACAAAAGATATCTGATCCAAAGCATCAAGAAACAATATAAGCAACAGACGATATTGGATATAATGAGCAATAATTTTTCAAAACTCTTCCATGGATTAGAAGAAGAACCAATACATTCCAACTCATTTTATGAGGCTAGTATAACCCTGATATCAAAACCTGACAAGAAGGATTGCGTGAAAGGAATATACAATAGCTTCTCTTTATCTGCAGAAGATATGTTTCAAGATGCCCAAGGATATCTGAATTCAAGGATAGAACTAAACTCTATTGCCCTCAATAGGACACGTTTCTATGCATGTCTTCCACCCACAAATTGAATGCCTTTTCCATCTCAACTAAGCACTTATCACACACCATGGTTGCAACTTTTGCAGTTTGAGGTGTGGCAACAAAACTAGCACAAATTTTCCGGGATAGAAGATTCATTCTCTCCATAGATCTTAGCAACTTCAGCCTACAGATTCTTTCCATAGATCTTAGCAACTTCAGCCTACAGTTTTCCTTTCCAGCTTCATTACCCTTGCACTTTGGGGCCATTAAGTAAAATAAAGCTTACTTGAACACGTGCACTGTGATTCCACAACAGTTGATCTGATAGCTGAGACACTAAGTGACTAATGGCTGGGAGTACCTGCAGCTCTGTGGTGTGGATACCTCGGCCAAGGGAACGGGCAGGACAGAGAGCACAGGACAGCACAAAATTTCATCACACTACGCAACTTAAATCATGAATTGTTTTCTTCTGGATTTTTCCATTTAATATTTTCAGACCACAGTTGATCACAGGTAACTGAAACCATGAAAGCAAAACTAAAGATGAGGGGGGATTCCTGTAGAGAAATCTCATTCCTGAATTTGTCCTTTATCAAATGCAGAGTATTTGTTTGAGCAATATCTGGTAGATATCCTGATGAAGATGAAGGAAAAAGCAAAATAGAAGATGTTAATGTAATTTGGGCATATAAATGTTCATTTAATGTACTATATACATATAACATTTTATATATGTCTACTTGTCTTCACAAAACATGCTTCTCAGAAAACCAAGAAATATAATACTATTCTTATGTTTATTTTATTCTGCCCTTATATCAACAATGGCCAGTGAAAACACCTGGGGGGTAACTAATAAAGATGACCAGAGGCTAGTGAACTAAAAGTGTTCCCAACGAAGCAGCCCTCTGATCCATATACTTTAGCTACATCTTACATCACTAAGGTAAATATGTGCTTCATGAAAGAAATAGGTCCAGCAAATGTATTTTGTTTTAATTTTTTTCTGATTTGTGTAGAAACACATGCACAAAAGTGCACTCATGTCTTTTAGGAATACAGGCAATTTTTGAACATCTACCTATTGAATTAAGTGACATCTGTCTTAGAACTAATATAAAATTCATCCCAGAAAGCCATGAAAATACTATAAACAAGAGTATACCCTTACAAGCATTTGGTAAATATGAGAAACCAAGCTCAATAACAAAGATACATCCAAGTGTTGTTTTCAGGGATGCAGTCAGATTCATGACATTCCAAATATTCCTATAAGACTAGTTCAGTGACACTTGGATGAAAGACGGATAACCTTTTTGCAACCTAGCAACCCTCCTCAAAACTGAGGAATATATTTATTCCACAAGAGAGTTTGAATGTATCCTAAATTAATGTTAACTGTTTAGAATTTTTTAATTTTAGAATTGATAGGCAAGAATGCATCTGAAAATCATTGAATAATGACTAGGGTTGGAATATTTTCCATTTTGATGGTTAATTCATATTCTTTAATGATTCCCTACTTTTCCATCTCAGTAAGAAGTTTTTCACTGAGTTATCTGCATTGAGATATTAACAATTGAATCATATCTGCAAGAATAAAGTCCTAGATACTGTTGTAAAATAATACAGTTTTCTTCAAGATAGCTGTGGAACAAGTTAACAGATTATCTGCTGCCTCATTGTTATGCAGTGTTGCCAGATAACTGGTTGTTGGTCACAATTATAGTCATAAATATAAGTTTTGGTGATTGATGTGTGTTTATTATAAAATGCAATAATAGTCTTACAAATCAGGCAGGGTTACTCTGTCTCTATATGCTTAGGTAGTAGAACATGGACTGTTGAAACAATGATGTCCAGAGGCATTTGTAATTCTAAATTTCGAGAATATTACTCTATCACCTTCCAAAATTGTTTAGAATGATTATATAGATTTGGTTCAGAAAGAAAAACTGGGAACCAATACCTGGGAAGTCAGTTGATCTAATTAGAGTTGCCAAATTTGTCCCCTATAACAGCAATGTAGTCAGCCCATAATTTGTAATTATGGGGTCACTGGAATAGACACTTTTTTTAGACAGGGTCCTGCTTGCTCTGTCACCCAGGCTAGAGTGCAGTGGTATGATTCTAGCTCACTGCAGTCTCAACCTCCTTGATTCAAGTGATCCTCCTACCTCAGCCTCCGAAACAGCTAGGACTGCAGATGCAGATAGATAATTTTTAAATTTTTAGTAAAGATGGAGTTATACTGTGTTTCCCAGGCTGATTTTGAACTCTTGACCTCAAGGGATTCTCCTGCTGTGCCCTCCCAAAGTGTTGGGGTTACAGGCATGAACCACCACATCCAGCCAAAATAGGTACTTTGACTAGCATGATTAAGAACTCTATTGGATTGAAGTGTATATATAAGGGCAACAAAACTTTTTTCTGATTTAATTTAAATGTTTTTATTCATTATGTGAGACTTGCCTAATAAATCTTAATTATTGTGTTGAAGGCCTCTGATTGCAGATAACAAATTTATTTGCTTTATGCTACATTGTGAGAGATTTATGTCAAGTTGATGATATAGACTTTCATAATAAAAATAGTAATACCATATTTTCTCAGTACCAAAGTGTCTTTTATCTTTCATACTTTAAGTTTTCTTAAATTGAGATGCAGCTTGTAACTGAGGTAAATGTTTAATGTAGATATGAAATAATTTGTATAATATAGGAAATATGACATTAAATACTTAGCATATGTTAGGCTAGTATATGATAGATATAAAAACAGTATGAAAGGAGACAAAGAGAATTGGGTTTAGAGGTGTAAATAAATGAGTTTCTGTAACTAGACATTTGTTACTAAAATTGAAAATCAAACATCTTGAAATAGGCAATATTTTTGATCAGTTGGAATTTTGGGGAGGCTACAGCTAGAGCATATTGATATGAGGAAATAATTGAAGCAGGAATTGTAGTTTTATTCATGGATGTAGTGCTTGAATCTAGAATAGCACCTGGCATGTAATAGAGGCTTAGAGAACAAATGCTGAATGGAAATATATGGGCTGCTCAGGATCTGAATATCTGAGTCTGTTTAGGTAGTAACAGAGGTAGCAAATATACCTCTTATTTTGTCTGGCCAACGTCTAGATGTCTTATTCATATTAACTTATTTACACTTATCAGTCCTATGAAATGGGTGCTGTTTTTATTCCCATTTCGTAGGTGAGCATACAGAGGCTTTTAGCAACGTGCCCGAGGTTCCACAGTTAGTAAGTGTTGGAAATGGAATTTGAACCCAAGCCATATAGCTCTGGGTTCTGTACTATTAGACAATGTGCTACACTGTCTATGTGAGATCTTAAAAATTTTAAGAACTATCAAAATCAAACGTCACCTGGGGACTCAAAGCGTTGTGGACAGAATGTATTAGATTTTCATTCTTTTATTTCCCAGACTTTCATTCTGCATTAAACCACCAATCACAGAAGAAGTCAACAAACCAATCATGGGGGTAGAGATTAAGTATTTTTGCTATTTTAAATGAACATAATATTGACATAATATTCAACCATCCTTAAGAAACTGGTCATACAACCTGTTTGAAATGATATATCATGTCAAGTGAGAATTGTTGAACAAACTCAAAATAGTATTAATTTTAAAATTACGTGCTTAAAGCTAGACTGAAAATTCACCTATTATAAACAAATCAAAGTGTAAGAGTTGTCAGTATAGATAATAGAATCCTTTAAGATAAGTTTGCTATAAAATAATGAGTCTTTGGCAATTACATATGTAAACCTATAACGAATTACCCCATTTAAACAAGTTAAGCTTCTGTTTCATGTTTCTTTTTAAAATGTATTTTATGTGCAATTTTCAAGAATTAAATGAAATTATTCAGTAACTCGCCTTCTATTTTGAAAACATACTGACAAATAAGATCCAACTTAGCTTTTGAATAACACATATGAATGGTAATCTTGATTAGTAAAAGGTTTGGATTTAAAACTTCTTTCCTTATTACTTAAATGCAAACAAGAGACACTTTAATTGTGTTAGTCATTGTAGTAAATGTAGAATCAATATCATTAACAAAGCCACTGTGGGAATATATGGACAGGTTGTGTTTATTGTTCCCTAGTCAGCTTCTTAGTGAACCAACTTCTTAGTCTCTGTGGGTTTCCCAATATTCCAGATAAGTATTAAAGCCACTGGCCACCTCAGGTTTCCAGAAAATTCTGCCATAAGGCAGGCCAGACCAGATCAGAGCAGAACAATAAGCTCTTCTTAGACTCCTAACATAATGATAATAAATTATTTGAATAACATCAGCACCTTTAGCACACAGTTATTGCTATAAGATTGAGTAAGATTTTGTTCTCAAATGCTCACCATGGGAATGAGGAAAAGAAATGACTTCATATTTGGCATGTACTGGAGATTGGGTAAACAGGTGATCAGAAGAGTAATTTAGAAGAAGAGCTAATTATCTGGAAATTAGAGTCAAAACATCAAAGTTCAAATGTCAAATTAATTGTTTATTAGTAGTATGATCCTTACAGAATCACCTATTATCTCTGAGTAGTTATTTCCTCATCTGCCAGTTGGATTTATAAGACCAATTGCGAAGATCATTTTCCTTCTTGTGCCACATGCATAGGCTTGACAAATGCTGAGGATATGTAAGGCAAGATGATACATTTGATAGGTACTCTCTCCTTGTGAATAGCAGTAGTGCAGTCCAGAGAGACATTAAATACTCATAGAAATCGGCATTCAGGCTCCAACACTATATTTTTACTTTATCAAGGCATGAGGTTTTCAGGAATAAATAATATCTACATTTAATTTAGATGCAACTAAATTTTTTCATAGTCTTTTATTTGTTTCTGCCAGGTTCTTCTTAATTTCTTGAGTTATTAAACTAATATTTATTAGATCCTACACTGAGTCAGGTAGTATGCTAAATTCTAGAGATACAGCAATGAAACAATCATGCAAAATCCCTGCCTCCATAACAATAGAAATATAGGAGCGACAAATGTTCACATTAATTCATACTTCATCTCTGAAGTTTTTAATGTACAAAACATACACAATAATTAACAGTTAGTTTTATTCATTCCCCCAGTGAAGCTGAGAAAATCTGAGTTTTGATTCTCTCACTATTACTTAGAATAATTGTTGGCCTATTCCTTAGTAAATTTGTAGCTCTATTTCTGGCTTCTTACTGATGTTTCTAAATAAGTCAAAAATGCTAATAAGTAGAAATATGAAAATCAGATATTACGTTATGAAAAATGTGAAGATTGGTGGTACTGTGGCATGGAAGTCAGTGAAAGATACATCTATGTGAAAGAACTTACTGCCATTTTTTTGAGAACTTGATCCTTTTCCAGTTATCCAAAATATGAACCATTTCTATCACTAAATTTATCATTCTCATTTACAGGGAATTATGGAGAAATACTAAATAAAGCATGTGAAAAACTCCCATAGGCTTTGAATGAGCAGGAAAAACTATCAAAACAAAAAAAGATGCCTGTGTAGAGATCTTGCACAAACCCTGGTGTTATGTTTAAGGTTACCTTCTGTTAAAGCTCTGTTTCTAAGCTACTCAGATTAAATTTTTGAAACCATAAGGTAACCTTTCCAAGACTGATTTGTGAGCTTTTATTTATTAAGTCAAGAACTGTCCATAGAACACCGTTTTTATCATTTTAGTTCGAGGTGGTTGTTTATTAACATCAGGTTGAAAAAAGACTTAGCACCCAGAGTTACCAGCTGTTTTTGTTCACAGATAATGCACACAAAAACAGGTGTCCTTCACAGTTACTGTCTTTTTCTAATCTGTGGGAATATATGCATTCCTCAAGCCTATGGATGTGAGACAGGAATGAAAATGTGGATAAGTATGTTTTTGTGTGTGCACATATGTGTTAAGGTT